TGTGAATTTTTGCAGAAAAAGCTAATTCTACATTAAATTTAGGATTTGATACAGTTTCTTAGCTTTTAACTAGCTTGTTGCTGCTTTCAGCTACTTGTGGTTTCAGCTAAGTTTCCAGTTCTTTAACAGAGTTCAGCTTGTTCTCACAACACAACCATCTGGTTTCTCTCTGAAATCATCTTTCAATGAGCAGAAATCAGTTTTTAAAGGAAGTGGAGCTGAAAAAACAGACGTGTTTTTGTTTTTTTAATCTTCTGGAGGCAGAAATGTTCAAACCATAAAAACAAAACCTGATTTATGTTGAGAGTGGGATAAACTCCAGATGAGTTTCATTTTGAATCAGTGTGTTCATGACGAAGCTGAAGCTCCAAACATCTGTAACCTGAGAGGAAACAGAGCCGAACAGCGACCCGCTGGACCTGCTCACTCACACAAACCACTCTTTCAAAATAAAAGCCCAACAGAAACGTTTCAGTGGATCTAAACAAGCTTCACCCCAGATGTTTTATTCAGAAACAGCTACAGGGGGCGCTGTTTGGAGCTCAGACAGCTGAGAGTCACCTGAGAGCACAAGGTGAGTTAACAAAATAAAAGCTCACAGAAGCAGAGGAAAAACACTGAGGCTCTTTAAGCTTTAAAACTGAAACCTGTCAGGACAGCTAGGACAGGTAGGACAGGTAGGACAGGTAGGACAGGTGTGGTCTCACCTGGCAGCTGTGTAGTCCCAGCTGGCCTGCTCGATCCGGCCCCTCAGGATGCCGATATCGTTGGACACCATGTCATCCAGGGCCTGCAGCTCCTTCTGGACCCTCCTCAGCTTCACGGCCTCGGCCTGAGTCTGCTTGGACCTGCGGGGGACACGGACACGTTAACGGGACGGCGGGTCCTGGGTCTCAGGGACGTGGACAAGTCTGCGTCTCGCTCTCACTTTTCAGCAATGGTTTTAGCCAGCAGAGCCTTTTTCTGTTTGTTCCTCTCTTCCATCAGACTCTGCTCCTGCTGCAGCTGCTCCAGACGGGTCCTCTCTCTCCTGAGGGACGGAGACAAGAGACANAGACCAGAGCGAGCTGAACGCTCACGTTCTTAAAAAAGTTCAGTGTTTTTTGTTTACATGTATTAAATGAGATCAACGAGGATCTGAWTCTAAGTCTGGTTCCAGAGTTCTGATTTGATCTGATCTCTAACCTGGAGGAGGTGGACTTGGAGACAGACATGGACAGGCAGGTGAATTTTCACAGTGTACAGGTGGTGCTGAGTAGAGACGTGGGCGTMGCCTGTTGTCAGACAGTGGAGCATATCCAGGAGGACCACGAGGAGCCAGGGTAAGAATCTCTCTGACAGGTACAGCAGGTAAGTCAGGAGGTGAAACGGGACACRCAGACAGGAAGTCCAAGACCAGAGGTCTCTAATGTTCCAGGGTTGAACTGAAGCCTCCATYGAGCTTCAAATACCTGCTGGACTCTTCAGCTGCAGGTGTGGGAGTCCTGCTCCYCCCTCAGAGCTGCCAGACCCTGAGTTAAAGAGACAGAATATAAAAAAAGACCAGAAGTGATCTGGTTCAGAGTCTGTCACAGAACCAAGTGGGAGGAGTTTGTGCACAGGTGTAACGTGCAGGTTTTCATGAAGGAAGCACCRAAACCTGGTTAGTGTAAATTCTCATCACCTGAACCCAGAGTGTGAGTCACAGGAGAGGACAGAGCCTCCACAGGTCTGAATTATTCTGCACTATGTTCCCACCGTCACCTCCTCCTCCTCCTCCTCCTCCTCCTCCATGTCGCTCCCCGCAGTTTGAATCAACAGGATGATGAAGCTCTGCGCTGCAGAAGGCCGATCGTTATGAGAACTTCTCTTAATGAAAACAGACGCAGGCATTAAAGCATCAGAGCAGAAACAGGCGAACACAGATTACAGCATGGTGAGTCAAACGTGGGAGACGGTTTATGAGGACAGAGGGAAAACACAAACACATGGACCCGGTTTGGTTCTGCAACCAGAAGATCTGCATCCGGTTTCACGGAGACACTTTCTGAACTCCTCATCAGAACCCGGTCTGTTCTGAGAAAACTCCAGAACCCAACCTGGTTACATCCTGCAGAACAGCAGAACCATCCAACCTGGGTCAGTTCTTGTTCTGCAGGTTCTGGACCAGAACTGGTCAGTCACATCACTCAGAGCTTTCAGCTCAGAAAGATAAAATTGATCCAATAAAACCCTGTGGTCCACAGACCCCTGCAGTCGTCAGCTTTATTTCTTTTATTTCTGTGTGTTTGACTGCAGTGTGGATTTCTTTCAGTGAGCTTTGAAAGCATTTTAAAGAGAAACAGAGCGTGTTTCTGGGCTGGACGTGTTGTTCTGTGTAAACTGTAGTGTTTGGAGGAGTGGAACCACAGAGAGGGGGTTTGGATCTTCTCTGGGCATTGTTAGCAGAAACCTCTCATGTCTGGCAGCTCAGCAGAGCTCAGCAGTGTCCTGTGCTCTGAGCAGAACAAAAGCTTTGAGCTGTCAAACAGCACCCATCTGGAGCCGAACAGAGAGGCTTTATTGTTCTCCCAGCTCCACCTCTGCTCCACGTCTTCCTCTTCTCTTGGKCGAGACACGGGGATTTTTTAGTTTGGTTTCTCTGCTGGAGGTCAAAGTTCCCGGGGTGTGGAATCAGAGGAGACGCTGCCATGTCCCCCCCTCCTCCCCCACTCGTCTGTCAGCCTTCAGCAGAACTTTTCATCTTCACGGAGAAACGTCAGAAAGCCTCCAGGCTGGGGCCGAGGCCCAATCGATCTGGGATCATCGCTCAGGAGTCTGAAGGCACGCCATCCCACATTTACAGATGTGCTGCTGCCGCACGCAGTTCCACCCGGCTCAGAGAAAATCTGCAGGTTTTAGTCTCGACACGGCAGCTTTTTGTCTTGTTTCACTGCAACNCCCCACACAACAATCCATCCCAACACAATCCCTGCTCTGATTTACAAGCAGGGAGTATTTTATTAATTTAATTACACTTTAACAGCGCTGCGCTCAGCGCGCTGCAGAGCAAAGTGCTGCCTGGTGTTTTTCTGCAGAGGCAGCCAATCTGCTTTGATTTTATGGAGGAGAGAAAAAGATGTTGTTTGATTTTACGAGCGGCCTCCAGGTTTCCTGAACYTGTCAGAAACACAAAGGGTGTGTCGTGTAGAACTGTTGGTTCTGCTCAAGTCTGAGAAACTGGTTCTAACACAAACCAACCATCTGAAGAGATTATTCCTCAATATTCCTCTATTTCTGTCTCTGAAAGATTTAAAGTATGTTTCAAACTGGAGCAACGAGCTCAGTTTAAACAGCAAAAACATCGTCGTCCTTTTGTCCTCAGCAGCCGGAGGTAATGCTCAGAGGAGCATTCCTGTCAACACAGCCTCTGTCACTTCCAGAAATTTAATTATTTTGTTTAAAAATCTGCTGAATCGGTTCACGAATGTGTTTTTAAAAAGTCCAGATGTTGAAACTGCAGGAAGCAGATGAGTCAAAGTTTGTRTCAAACCTCTGTCGTCCCTCAGAGCTTTCACCGTGTCTCCCTGACGTCACGCTCAGTCCAAAGCACTCAGACTGAATTAAAACATGCTGAGATGAAAACCAGGTTTGACAAATGGCTTGTTAAGGAACAGCAAAGACTTCTGGGTAACAGTGAACTTGTGACACGCTGCCTCTCCTGTGCTGTGATCTCACATGAGTAATAATGTTTTTTAATACCCTGCAGTCGTACGCCCGTCAACTCATCACCTTCCTCTGCACAATTAGCATAAACGTGTTGTTAGCGTGTGGCGCAGAGAGACGTTCATCTGTGGTGGAAAACATCAGGGGGCAGCAAGAGGCTGACAAAAGTCATTACTCCTGTCTCAGTGTGACGATGGCAAAGAGCTCCACTTCCACCCAGAACCACCTCTGAAGAACCAGAGCCACGCAGACAGAACTAAAGACACGCAGCCAGAACTAAAGACACGCAGKCAGAACTAAAGACACGCAGACAGAACTAAAGACACGCAGACAGAACTAAAGTCTGCATGTGAACAGAGTGTTACTAAAATGGCCGACAACACAAACTGTAGAGAAGAATCTGATATTTCTTCAGTTTATTTTGAGCTACCATCAAAGAGAGGAAGAAGAGTCAGAGTTCAAATAATATTGTTTCAATGAACAKAGACCAAWGATTTTTCTTTCTAAAAGAGTTCCCCTTTGATGTCACTTCCTGTTTCACTTTAGCTGAGCCAAGTTCAAAAGAAAATATAACAGTTATGGGAGAAAATGGGTAAAATATAAAGAATTACGCTACGTTTCTTACAWAAAAAGTTGTTTACTTTTTATATTTGAAGAATAAGCATGTCACAGGCTTTAAAACCCCTAATTCATGCTTCAGACCCACAAAACAACATTTAAATAAATAATAAATCATACTAACAGTTCCACCTCTTGTTTCTCCAGCTCTTTAACCTCCAGGCTGTTTTCCTCCGGATGATGGTTTTCATTCGGCCACATGTCAGCGGGGTTATGCTGCACCTCCAGCCCGCCCCCCGGAGCTCCAGACCGGGCTGCAGGTGGAGTCTCCAGCCCGCCCCCCGGAGCTCCAGACCGGGCTGCAGGTGGAGTCTCCANCCCGGAGCTCCAGACCGGGCTGCAGGTGGAGTCTCCAGCCCGCCCCCCGGAGCTCCAGACCGGGCTGCGGACTCCGGCTCCTCGCTCGGCGGCGGCTTGCTGAGCTGCTGCCCGGGCGTGAGGCTGTGTGACCCGGCTAACTGTAGGGCTCTCTCCCGCTGAAGCTGCTGCCGACTKCGGCCGGCCGGAGGCGGCTTCCGGCCGCGGACTGGTCCGGCTGSGTCTGGTGGACATTAAAAATAAATCACAGGTGGTTCCGGTTCTCCTGACAGAATAAACCCGTCCTGAGGTAAAGCTCACCTTTCTGCTGCATCCTCCGCAGCTCGGCGTCAGAAAAACCCGCCCAGCCGCTCATTCCAGAACCGGACAGCCGAACCGGTCCAAACGGAACCGCAGCGGCTTCACGAGCAGGAAAATGTTTGGATTAATCCCGTCAGGTTCTCAATGAAAACTTCACAAACTTAAAGCTTCTCTGACTCTTCCGCCATGTTTGTTTATCGGTGCCACGTGAAGGACCCCAAACAGACCGGTAGTAGTCCCAGCTGCGCCTGAGTAAAAATAATTATCAAAGAAACTTCCTTCAGTTTTATTATTAAAATACTAAATGTTTTCTCATTACAATATTTGATTATTTTTGCCCAATTGTAAAGAGTTTGATTGGAGAATTCAAGTTGATTTTAGTATTTTTTAGATAATAAATATATTTAAAGAACAAATTAGTGTAAAAAAAACCTATTAGCACGTGTTTTTGTTACAACTTGTTAATTTCAGTAAAAACAACAATGTTTGACCTGACAAGTGCCTGAGGGTCAGAAAGGTCAAGGGTTAATTAAAGAACCACTTCATGTGAAAGCTGCGTGAAATTAGCTTTAAAGGTTGAGGAACTGATATCCTGATGTGTGAACGTTTTCAGCCAACCATTGAAACTGGTTGGCTTGAACTGGAGCGACTCAGCTTCTCAACACAAGGAGATTTTATTTTAAAGGTTCTGGCATGAAGAGGAGAAACATCTCCTCCCTGTGTGACCCTCAGAGGGTCTTTATCCCCCTCCGCGAGTGCTTCAGATGTTTCACTGAGTGCTCGCCGAGACAAAGTGATACCGAGACGCTGACCTCTGCTTGGCAACCCATAAAAACTGGCCTCCACATCTTTTTTGCATCTGGAGGCCAATTATGAGCGAGTTAAAAGGCAGAACACCTCAGGAGGGCATGAAGAGCYGAGACAGGGCAGGCATGGAGTCCAGATGGTGGGCGGAGGACCACGTCGGGCCGCGGCGGCCGAGGWCGGGCCGGCCTGATTAGTGAGGGCCACATGGCTCATTACTGAGGTGACCTGTGGAGGCAGGGCGGGGCCAAAGGTCAGGGGACTCTTTACATCCTCACAACTGATAGGAAACTGCTCCAATAAACTGTTCAAGGAGTTCTTCAGAGTTTCTCCTCGCTTTAAAGACAAAAAGCTGCTGTTTTTACAAATCATATTCATTTATGTCTTTTAAATCTTTATATATTCTTCATTTGATGTTTTCATGGCTCCATCTTTCAGCTTTTACTGTCAAAAGCTTGGGTGTATCGTTCTGTTAGCAAAATATCTGTTATGGTGTTTCTTAAAGGGAGCCATGATTAGTTTTAACATTAGACTTTATTTAATAAACATATTTTAACTGTAAAATAAAGACTGTAAAAATAC